CCACTGCATATTATTATGTTTTATGAACATAGCATAATTTATTTATCTGTTCTCCCATTGATACTTAGGCTGTTTTCAATTTGTCATTGTACATTTCTCCACAAACACATGTGAGGGTGCTCTCAAAACCTTGCTGCTTGACCCAGGCTTAGGAAGTTTGCTTTCCTTAATTTTTGATACAAATTTTTATGAATCCCAAGGAGTTAACGAACTCCTTTCAAGAGAAATAAACTGAGTGCAGAGATACTAGGAAAAGCAAAAAGAAAGTCCCTGTTCTCAAGGAAGGGCCATTGGAATGGGATAATAATAAAATAACAGTGCAAATAAATGTAGCATTACAGGTATAATAAATAATTTGAAGGAAAAGTCCATCACCCTAAAAGCACTAAACAGGGAAACAGTGTTCTTAGTTCAGGGCATCATGTTGGTCTTCCTGAAATAGTGTGGTTGGTCTGAAAGGGGAGAAAGGAATGAGTAAGAACTAGTCTAGTAAGGAATATGGGGTTTGGATTGAGGTAAGTGTGGGAAAACATCATAAGCAGAGGGAACAGGAGGTATACAGGTCTTGGGCTGGAAGAGAAAGTGCCCGTTTTAGAGAGCAGGCATACTTGGGTAGAACAAAGGGTGAAGGGAAAGAAGGCTTGAGAAAAACTCTAAAACAACATAGGCCAGAGCCCACAGAACTTTTTGGCTTTTACTCTAAGGCGAGGGAACACCATGGGAGGGGTTTAAGCTAGAAAGTGATACTATCATATTTGGAGTTCAAAACAATTCAAAACATGGGCTTCTATATGGAAAAGTCTTTGTTAAGATTCCTGCTCCAGTTTCTGCTGAATCTATGAAGCTGAAGCTGAACATCTTGTAGTCACTGGCAGGACTCAGTCATTCTCTTGAAGAGTGATCTGAAATGAGGAAATACTCTTCTGTAGAAGCATCTGCTTTTAAGGCAGGATACACAGCAGAGTGAGTGAAAAGGCTTGATAGCGTCTATGAAGTGGTGTAAATCTTTAGCAAAATAGAAAATGTAAAAGAGAAATCAAGGTAAGGGAGACTCTATCTAGAGAAGAGAAAAAGAATGGGGAAGAAAGAGAGGCTGAGGCCTGGCTCCATGAAAATTCTCTTGGCCAAGCCAATGGGTACAGAGATCAGGATGAGCCAGGCAAAACACAGGGAGACGGCATTAACAGAGACTTCAGTTGAAATTTTGAAGGAAAACATAGTTTTTTAGGCAATCTAAAGTGGACCAAATAGCTCACAAATTGCACAACACAGCAACTAAAATCCTATAGCCTCTGGGAGGCCTGAGCACGCCTAGACTCAGCCCATGATTAATCTCTCCTCCTTCTTAGAAAATCAAAGTCATGATATACAGCTTGTGGTACCAACATTGTAATGGCTCCTGCTGGGTAACTCGCAAGCACCACTCCATGCTCCCCCTGTTCCGGCCCCTGTCTCAGTTCAGAAAACATACTTGACAACACTATCATGACTCTTGAAGAACCAACTTTCATTGCCCCTGTTATTTAGCACTGTTTTTTTCTTCTCATGCTTTGAGTAGACATTTAGTTTCTAAGACAAAAGAAAAGAAGAGTTCTGAGACTCAGTTTGCAGTGGGGGAAACGCTTTGCAATCAGAGGGGTGAAAAAACTTTTCTGGAAAACAATGATTTTATTTGGCTTTTTCCAAAAGTATGTATAAGCATAAGAATGACTCAGACACTAACAAAAATACAGTCACAGAGAAGAACCTGATTGAAGCATAATTGATTATGTTGGACAATTACAAATGCCCTTATTAAATAATTGCATTTAAACCACATGATAGTTTTATAACTGATTTATAAAAACAAAATTTTGAAAGTTTAAGTGACATAATTGTTCTCAGTATCACTACAATTTTCAAATGAAGCAATTTAGCCTTAGAAGCAATTTCACTTCTCATTGTAATGTTATTTTGGTGTCAGGCTGCAAGCTTTTGTTCCACTTCAGAGTTCGAGGAATAATGATTAACCCTTCCCTCTCTTTGGCCAAATCAATGATGCATTTTTCTAGTGTATCAGCCTTTTGCCTTTTGCTGTAGATCACTAGATCATTTAAAAATGGTCTGCAGGCCTCCGATTATGTATATGGTTTCTATTAATGAGAATGTAGTAGCTTCTGTATGGATGTGGGAAATGTAAATCTTTCTTAGACTAGGGGTATGTGTGAATTCAGAATAAAAATGGCAAAAACAAACTTTCTTATGTTTGAGGGTTTCAACAAATAATGTCAAGACTTTGCACAGTTTTCTCTCAAAATTATATCCCCTACTGGAAGCAATCCAGGAAATGGCCTGGTATCTCTGGCACATCTCCTAGAATGTTAATCAAAGGTCTATATTTTCGGGTGCATGAATAAAGGATCTTGGGACGTTCAGCAGATAAAAGCCAATACCATTAACATTCCTTTATTGAGTTTATATGAATTAAATAGTTTTATACAACTACTGTCTCAGTATCACACACACAACTCCCAAGGCATGTTCTACACTGGTAATAAGAGCTAAACCTGCTGTATTTCATTTCAGCCTTGCTGATAGCATTTATCAACAAAATCTGGCTAAAAAATGGAATATGCAACTTAAGCCTGATCATAACTGGGCTGCAGAGAAGGAAAGTGGGGGATTATCTGGGGACTGGGAGCACAAATATAAGATTGTATAGTCATTGTGTACTATAGGCCTTTTGGCAAACTGTAGTGTAAGCCCCAGTTGACAGGCCTTTTCACAACTGACAGAGGAAAATATGAAACTTAAATTCTTCATGACAGATAAATCTGCTGAATGAAAGGGAGACCAACAGGATAACTGTGGGACAAAAAACATACTGCTTTTGGGTAACTCCCTTAAATCTACCTCTTTTGTGAATGTACAAAATAGGCATTCAATGCATATCTTCTAAACTCCTACCTACCAGCTCTGCTAAGCATGCTGTTAAGTTGGAATGATAAAATAAGCATCTTTTCTTCAGCAGATGAATACAAAGTCTTATAAGACAGGGGTGGCAGATTAAATTTAATATGTGGGCATGAAAGACATTTCCTGGATGACTATCAACTGGAGTGGATTTCTTGAACCAAAGTTGACATGTTACTATTGTAGAAGGCTTATTAATTGAGATATTAAATGTACCTAATCCACCATGATGGGGATCTTTGTCAAATTAAAAAAATATGACTATAAGTAATTGCTCTTTTCTGTCAGTGAGTCCCAAGTCCATGAAATGTAACCAGAGACCACCTCTTAGGATTAATATCATTGGGCTTTCCACTGGTGATACATACCTTTTACCCTTGTCAAGGGCCCTGGGGCCTCCAGGGGTTTAGGGTTCTTTGCCTTTTCCATGCTGGTTTAGCACCGGCATTTTTTCCTTATTCATCTTGATCAGCTATACTAGTTCTGTCCAATTCTGGTGGCAGCCTATGGAAAACTACCTCAAACCATGCGAAGCCAGATTAAACTGAAAAGTAAAGTTTCTTGTATAGTTCTTTTTTTTTTTTTAACCCTTGCAGCTATTTAGTTATTTATTGTATAACCTCACTGCTCTTGGCATTTCCTAGAGGAAGCTTTCTGAGCAGCACTGCTTCTGGGGGAGAGGAGGGATTAATACAGGCTGCCTCTTTTATTAATGAATGGCTGGACTGCCTTGGCAAATCCCAGGTCAAGTTGATAGATAATACCTTGCTGAGATAGACCGAAGGAAGTTTCAGAGACCAAGAGCAGGTCTGCCTTGAACTGTCACTTTCCCTGGTTGCCATGCAATTCATGGCTAATCTCCACAAAAAAAATCAAGGTGAGAATTAGACAGCAGTGAGGAGAGAGAGAAAGAGAAAGAGACTGAATGGGTGAAAGGAAAGATGAAAATGGTAATGAGACTTCATGCCCTGACCAGCGTGAGTTCTTCCACCAGTCAGAAAGTCCTGGAATGTCTGGCAGCAGGACTAGGGCACAGTGTCAGGCCATGGGTATCACCCACCAAGTCACAGGGAGGCAGAAGAAAGACAGTGAGAGGCAGAGTTAGAAAGACTATAAAAAGGAGGAAGAAGAAGAGGAGGAGGAGGAAGGGGAGGAGCAAGGGGAGGAGGGGAGCCAGGCTGGAGTCTGCGAGAAGAATCCAGGCGCCACGGTGTAACCGCTGCCTCAGGTATGTTAGCCAGTCTCAGCTCGTTCCCAGTGCTTCTTGGCAAGCCCAAGGCTCAGGCGCGCACACGACATACACGCAGGTGAGTGTGCGCGCACCCGCTCTGAGCTGTATCTGTTGTAAAGAAGCTTCTGGCCTGTCTGCAGTAGTGTCTTTCAGATACTCGCAGAGAGAGCTGGGCTTGTTGGGCACCGCTTTTCATAACTGTGGTAAAATTGCCTAAGACCTTCGTAAATAACAAAATCTACTCAAATACAAAGGGATTTAACTTACTCTAAAGATGATTATGTTTTGTCTGCTGGATTAGAATTACTTCCAAAGTCATTAGAGAAACTCAACATTAGCACTTACTTTTCTATAAAGAAACAAACCACACACATACAAAGGTGCAGCATTATACAGTAATTATCCAAAATGCTACTGCTTGGAATAATAAGGATGCTGTGTGTTTACACATCATCTTTCTTCTCTTAAGAATTCAAATAGCTACACCACCCATATCCCATTATTCCTATCAACAGTCTTCAATGAGCTATGCGGGTGGCAAGGATAATTATCTGTATTACATAGAAGGAGTAACTGAGGCACAGAGAGGCATTCAGGATCACACCGTAAGGAAATAGCAATTCTGGACTTACTATATAAAACATTAGCGGTCAAGAGTTTTGCTGTTAAAAATATATATTCCTCTTTTCCATCTTAATTTTCTTAAAACAATTTACAAAGAGCCTTTCCTCTTTGGGGACTCTCTGACCCCTTCTTTGTGTGCAGTCTTTACCTTTGCACTTAACAGTGTGTTGTAATACTTCATTTATTTGCCTACCTCTTTCCTGATAACATGTTCTTGAAGGCCAGGACTTGCTCATCTCTGTATCTCCAGCACTTGGAACACAGTTGATGTTTCTTAAATGTCTGCTGGCTAAATGAATGAAAGAAAAAAGAATGAATGCATTAATGGACAATCTTCTAAGAAGAATTTCTGACAAGGTAACAATAAATGCAAATTTGGGCCTAAACTAAATATGTCTGATCTGATTTTATCTTTGCTATGACAAATATGTCCACCTCATGAGCCTTCTTTTAAAAATCCAGTGAATACATTTAGAACTAATTCCTTCCCTGCCTGGGCTGTTGGATTTATTGTTTGGAATAATAACTGAGACTCATGGAAATACTAGGGCTCCAGATGGTCTATTGTAACTATTTTCCCCATAGACCTCCCTTTTTTGATATCTAAGGGAAAGCATTTTAGGTGCGGAGGTTTTGGGGAGTATTAATATATAGTTATTATGCTGTCCCAAAACCCTTTCCTCTGTGTATTGAGTCTTAAAGCCAGATTGTTTTGGGGGGAGGGGGTGCAGACCCCAAAATAACAATAGGAACAATGATTGCTCTTCAAGGAGACTACAAATTTAACTCTCTTTTATACATTTTTTCGGTGATCAATACAAAAAAGGCAAGGTAATATATGTTAATCTTTACTAGATGTACTTTATGTATCCCCTTACGTTGGAAGCCTAGCAGGAGTAGAATGTCACAACAGACATTTACTGAACTACCTGGGGAAATGTAACAAAAAGTGTTAGACAAAAATGGTTTTTCAGCTAAATTACCTAATATATTTGCTAATGGTATCTGATTTAAAAGCCATAAAAATACCAAGTTAAAAGCACATTAGAAGATGTGTTATATTTATAAGTGTTTGTCACCTTGGCAACAAAAGCTATATTCCAAATCTAACACTAGCTATGATGGGCCAAGACCTTTTAAAATTGGTAAATACTTCTTTATGGCAATGATCTGCTTTCAGCTACTGAATGTTAGAACTAGAAAAGGCAAGTTCTTCATTGCATAGCAAGTTTTTTGCTAGCTTTCTACTATGGGTAAGCTTTTTCTTTCTATTAGTAAGTATGGTTTATTCTTGACAAGAAAAACAATGCATTTTCAAATAAAGCATCAGTCTTAATTGCACTCAGAAATGCAGATATAATAGCTTGAAGATTCCTAAGGATAAGAGTTTATCTATCAACTTTATATTTCAGTTTATCAACCATAGGACTGACCTTGGTTCATGTATGAAATATCACCGGTGTATACTATAAAATCAACCTTATCCTATAAAAATCTATTCTCCTGGTGGGTGGAATATGTCTAGTTTAATAGGGGAAATTTGCACATACCTTTACCTTCCAAGTGAGTTGCATGAAGGACTGAAAAATTATCTGTCACTGTGTCTCACTAAAATTCTGCTTCCAAATTACATCTAATAAAATTAGATGATTTGGTGATGGGAACCCATGCTCTAAAAGGTAGATTTCAGGTAGACCTGAAAGAGGTTTAGACTGAACTCTTACTATTCTTCCCTCATTTTTTAAGTTGTAATCTGCTTTCCAAATCCTATAAAAAATGTTTGGTTTATGTGCCAGTAAAAGATTATAATTCCAAGAGTCTAACTAGATTCCCATGCGGTTGAACTAATTTTCAGAAGTAAACCATGGAAAAGGTCTGGGTAAACACACATTCTCTGTGGGCTGTGGCTGTTCACTGGGAGCCTAGACAAGTTGTCTCTACAGCCAGCTTGGGAAAACCCAAGCCCAACTCATGATCTATAATCATGCTCAGCAGGTTCTCAGAGAGAGTGGGCAGATCAAAAGGCTAAAGGCCATCACCCCCATGTAACTTTTCTTTCTTTTTTTAAAAGATTTTATTCATTTATTTGACAGAGACAGAGATAGCAAGAGCAGGAACACAAGCAGGGGGAGTAGGAGAGGGAGAAGCAGGCTTCCTACCAAGCAGGGAGCCCGATGTGGGACTTGATCAGGACCCTGGGCTCAAGACCTGAGCCGAAGGCAGACGCTTAATGACTGAGCCACCCAGGCGCCCCACCACATAACTTTTCTAACACAAGGAGACCATATCTTTCTTCTACCCAGGAGAAATCAATAAAAATTTCCTACCACATCAGCCCAAACTAAATATTGCCAGGAAGTATGTCATTGCTTCCTTTTTATTTTCTAAGAAATAAGGTCTTCTTAGTGAACATAAGAAAAAGTTTTAGTCCATGTGATGGAGATATTAATAGTGCACAAAGGGAATGTTCTAGAAGAAGAGAGATGAGCCTCCAGCCTAGAACTAATAAAGCAAGGTAGCACCTTTGAGTTCAAATATAAATTATGTGAACAAAGCTGACAAAATTCATTATACATAGTTAACCAGATGTACTTTTCACTTAAGGCAAAGAATCACATGGATTGACATATTCTTCATTTGACTGACAAATGTAACTCTTGAGAATGTGTTTGATTACATCACCTTGCCACTAAGCCCTTTGCTTAACTCCTAACGAATCAATTACCAAGCCATCTTCTGTTGGTAAATTTAGAAGAAATTGTCTATTTTTTACTCAATATTAATTTTTAGATAGCCTAGATGGAAATTAGAGCATCTTGTTTGAAAATCATCATATATTATATTATTTAAAGCACTGACTACATAATCTCATTTCACTCTCCAGAAAATATAAGCAAAAGGCTACAGCCTGAATTTTACCAAGTATAAAGACACAAGATAATTCATAATAGCTACCTTAGCTGAGTGAAAACACAACATGCAGCATCACTCAAATTTCTTCCGAAGGGAATAATGGGCCTACAAGGGAAGGGACTGATTTTTCCCCCAACTTTATACCCTCTGCATAGTAGCCAAGCAATAGATATTTGTACAATTATAAACACAAATGAACTTCAGTAATCTATTCCATGTATTCCCCATGATATCCACAAACTGAGGAATGACCATCTTACACAAATAGGTAGCTAAGAAAAAAATGTTAGAGGTATAAGTAAAATAAAATAACATGATTTATTTCCATTTTGTTGATACTTATGTGTAGACATGTTTGCCTTACAGACCTGAAAGATGAGTAGAAATTAGGTAAAGAGAATGGGCCCACCAACATAACCCAAAGTGGAAAGTGAGAATTAGCATGGCAGGAACATTAAGGAGCTTGCGTTGTTGGAGTGAAAACTGTAGGGTTTAGAAGGGAGTAGGAAATGTGGTTAAGTACGCATAGTGGGGGTCAGTTGTAGACCAAGAAAGGAAACTAACATGTGCTGAACACCAGGCCTTATACAGAGGTTCCCTCAGGTTGTTCCTCAGGACAAGACTGTGAAGTGGGTATGATTATCCTTACAGACTGGAGAAAGTCTCAGAAAGTTTAGATACCTGACTCAGTGGCTCTCAGAAAGTATGTGGTAAATACGAGCCATTCTTCCAGTGACACTATACTGTATTGAAAACTGGGCAGAGAGATGTAGAGATTAACACACACAGAAAGTAACAGCTTCTAAACCAAGTCCAGAAAAGTTGAATCTGAATAAATGATTTAAAAATACAAATGGCTTAATAGGATCCTAACTGCCCTGGGGTTTTTCCATGTGTGAAATGAGCAACATTATCACATAATCATGTTCTTAACCTCAACAGGGAGACTTGATTAATTTTCAGTTACAAATTTCAGAGTAGTACTGATTAAGACTTTGCTGCTTAGGGTGTTACTGTTCATCATTCCAGAAAGCCCCAGGTTTGATTTGGAAAACATAAAATATTCTAAAGGCAGATCTAGTTATGAAAATGTAGACATTGTCTTGTATTGGCAACCTGACAAATGTGCTGCTATACTCCTCCCGTTGTGGTTTACATGCTGCTTCCATACACGACACTGGCATCCCATTCGGAAGTTGATTGTTGTGTTTTGGTTTATGTTTCATACAACAACTGCCTTGAGCCACTTCTAAGAGAGGAAAATAATGACAAATTTGAAATTTTCTCCCCAGGAAAAGAGGCTGTGGTGAAAACACCAGATGACATTTAAGCAACTACCATTAAAGGCATTTTAATTTTCTGTTGACAAACATGATTTTCCAAATGATTTACAGTGAAGTTTCTGGGCTGACAGCCATACAGCCTGTCTAGGACTATGTTTTCTGGCTCTACAAAAGTGCTAATGAAATCTTCATTCTTCTGTGAGGGACTTAATGTCTTGAAAGCCACAGTGCTATTTAGGTTCCTGGTTCCCCAGCTTCTGCTGTCACCTTCCTTCAGAGCCCCTGGGCCCCATCTCTTAGATCAGGCTCTTCTAATCCCAAACTCTAATGTCAGACTCAAGAAGGACAGTGGTGCTTTGGGGAGCACTGGTTCCACACTTGGCAGCATGTGTATCTATCAGCAAAAGCAGCTTCCTTCTTAGACCCCCCTTCTGCAGCCTGGAGTTTCATCTGGTTCAGGGGATTCAGTCTCCACTAACTTCAGTGTATCTTTTCCTTTCTTGAATGCTGTCTGCTTTATTAGCTTGCTAGATATCCAGTTTCTCTAAAGAGTAAAGCTCTGTTGTGCTCTTGTTAAGTTTTCGTCTCTGACTTGCTGTTAATACTCAGAGTCCAGAACTTGCCTGGTGCTTAAGGCCTGCCTTTCTGTTTGGATTTTCATTTTTGTTCTTGATATTATTTTGTTCAATACTCTCATATTACAGACAAGAAAACCAAAATGTAATAAAGTTGGGAAATTTGCCCAAGTTCTCAAGATTAATTATTTGAACGCAGGTCTACTTATTTTGAGACCTACATGCTTTTACATGTTCAGGCTAAGGTTATTAGATACCCTCTTTTAAGACATTATCCCCTCTATTTGTTATTTTATCTAACATGTCAAGAAATGTTTGAGAAGGAAAGCTGTTCCCCAATTTTTTTAAAAAATGTTAAAATAAAAAGCAAAATACCTGTCCTTGTTCAAGGATATTAGTCTATGGGAGGTTTTGTTTATGAAGTTTTAAGAGATGCAGTGTTTTTTTTAAAACATGAGCTTATTTTATCAGTCAACCTGTTTCTAAACTGTTATAATGGATAGACTTCCATTTTATTA